CCCAACTTTTGCATTCCAGTCACCCATTATTATCAATGCATCTTGATTGCATGTTCGATCTATCTCCGACTGTAAAAGTTGGTAGAAATCATCTGCTGTCAGAAACTTCTCCAAAATATTGAAGAGCAAGAATGTAGGTTTAGAGATTCAAGTGTGCCTGATGCAAGCCATGATCTTTTCAATTACTTGTCTACTCTGGAATTTGGACAATGACTAAGGATGACAGAAGAATGACTGCCTCTAACTTGTGTTGTCGGAGAAAAGTACTGAATATCGCATGGACTGTCAAAAGAATAAACAAGGATTTCTTGGAGAAAAGTGAGACAAGGGAGCTCCTTGCAAGTAAGTGTGGTGAAGCTTCCTTTCGCCTATTTCAGGTATGTTGGAGAAGGGCACCCAGCTTGAAAAGGTGAAGGGTCTGTTTTAGGAAGGAAGATCCTCAACAAGATGGATTGAGAAAGTGACTGTAACAATGGGGTCAAATATTTTGGAGATAGTAACGATGTCACAAGCCAGGGTCATGTTCAGATCTTTTGTTCAAAGGGTGTCTATAAGCAGTGGTTGACTGGATGACAAATTAAAATCAACTGGCTACCCCTAAGTGGACGCGTAGAGTGGTGACGTAACGTGGGGCGGGCAGCTCTGGCAGCCAATCCAGGCCTTGGCCTCCTTCCCCGCCCCGCCCTCTTGCCGGCCCTCATCTGCGCGCGCACTCGGTTCCGGAAGTTTTCGGCCGCTGTGGAAGTGAGGCCTTCTCTGTTCTGATCAGGGGTTTTGCCTTCGCTTCTTTGAGCCCGCTTGATCCGCGGAACGGAACGGCAGTGGCCAGGCTGCTCAGGTTCGGGGCTCCCGCCGTGGCTTCTCTGAGCCTGCTAGGTCTGCGGAACGGCGGTGGGTCCGGCTGCTCCGCCTCAAAATAGGACGGCATTCGGGTCTGTTGTTCATAGGGTCATTATGAGACATACTCAACAATCGCTTTTATGTAAAGCTGTCTTTCTCTCTAAGCTAAGAGCTCTAGTGGTTTGAAGCTGCGCATCAATAGGAAAGAAAAGAGGTTCGACTCCACCAGCTGCTCTGGGAGAGAAGGATGGTGATTCTCCCCCGTAATTTAATGCGTCTGAAAACCTGCTAGAGTGTTGGCTGTGGGTGGGTTCCGACTCTGTGGCACACAACAAAGCTTTAGTTGCATCTCACAAATTTTCATATTTTTGAGTGTTCATTCTACTTTATTATTTTCTTTTTGAGCCTGCATTAAAATGATGTGATCAAATGGTGCTATTTAGGTTTTCCATCTCCTAATTAATTTTTCCCCCTTTACAAATTGTTTAGTGAGAGAAGTGTGTTAAAATTTCCAGGTGATTACCCTTAGAATAAAAATTATCCTTTGCATTAAAAGGTATATAATTTTAATATTTTGTTTTTCTTGTCTGTATTTTGCTTATAGCCTTGGAAATTTTTATAGTATCATCTATAAAATATTGGCGACTTAGTTCAAGGCAATAAGTGTCATTTTAGGTAGCCAGTGTTTGTTTCAAATATACTTTAAGCTCAAGGTTAAAACTGTGACAAGCTTATCATCCTTTTTCCAACATTGCCCAAAAAGAGGCCACTGGGAATTTCATTGCACCTTTTGGAAAGAAATGTTTTGTTCTCTTCAACCTCATCTTTATTCCAGAAGCATCCTGGTGATTTACTACTTGTAGGGCATAAGTGTATTTGTCGAGATTTACTTTTCAGTCTCCAAATGGACAGATGTAGATACAAAAGGGTTAGCTTCAGAAGATGTACTTATCTGGAAATCCATAGTGAAAAAGCTTTATGAGGTGGATGACATTCTTTGTGTGGATATTTAAAGACCGAGCAAGAATGTTATCAAGTGAATGGGTGAGATTGGCAGTTTATATATGGTTTCAGTAGTTTCCTCTGTGACCACATGCTTACATTGTTTTCAAATAGAAGAATACATCCTCTGAGCACCTCGGTGTAGTCAACAGTTAAAATCCTCTGCTGTTGACTTGGAGGTGGAAAGTCAGATGTATCCACTAGTGTCTTGAGAGAAAGACCCAATGATTTCCTCTAGTAATCAGTCCTGGACAGCACTGAGGAGCATAACACCACTCCGAGAAACGTAAGGTCTACGTGAGTTAGAATCATCTCAGTGCTGTTTTTTCTTTTTGTCAGTACTTAGTTTCAGAGATCCATGTTTGATTGACTGCAAGGCTTCTCAGCAGGACCTGTGAATTTGTTTCTGAAATCTTGTTGTTCTCTGTATCTCACTAAATCTCTTTCTTTCCACAGTGTCCACAAGAGGCTATTTGAAGACCTGATTTTCCCCAGAGAATTGTTCCATCTTGAAGGACTTTGCTGATGTGAAAGGACTAGACAAACCTGATGATGCCTTCGGAACTGGGACAGACTCTGGACCAGGTTCCACCACGGGCAAAAGCAGAGGACTGCACATTTTCTGGACCAGATGCTGCCCCTGAAAGGGAACTCTCCAGCCCTGAAGCTGCCCGGCAGCTTTTCCGACACTTTCAATACCAGGTGCTGTCTGGGCCCCAAGAGACCCTGAGGCAACTTCGGAAGCTCTGTTTCCAGTGGCTGCAGCCGGAGATTCACAGCAAAGAGCAGATCCTGGAGCTCCTCATGTTGGAGCAGTTCCTGACCATCCTGCCGGGGGAGATCCAGACGTGGGTGCGTGCACAGCGTCCCAAGAGTGGAGAGGAGGCTGTGACTCTAGTGGAGAGTTTGAAGGGTGAACCCCAGAAACTGTGGCAGTGGGTAAGTAGAGGGTATTGGATGTAAGGTCCTGTGGGGTGTCCTTATACCGCATATAGCGAGCGCTCTGTGTGCCTCTCAGGTCTCTTAGTGGTCCGAATTGTTTGTACTTGACTACTAACCTTAAGGTTTATGGTTTAAAACCAGCAAGTGACATTGTTAGACTAATGACCTTGTCATTTGTTGGAAAGCACCAGGGAGAGACTTAGATGCTGAGATTTAGACTGGTACCATAATCATGTGAAGATGACAGACCATTTATACATGATAAGCAGAAACTCAGCAAACTGAGGAACTGCTAATGTGACCGAGCAATTATCTTGACACGCAGTGTGCTTGGATATGGTAGGGTGATAAACAAGTTCCTGAAACTGCAGTGCTTGCTCCTGGATATAGTGGAGTGACAAATAAGTGTGTGGAACTACAGTGCTTGCTTAGGAACTAAAAAACAAAAGTTGCTTGTCTTGCTCCTTGAAAAGGCTAATAATAAATAAAAAAGGCTAAAGGCAATCTGTACCCTTCTCCTTCTTGAGGACTTGAGTCCCCTGACCCCCTTCTTTTTTTTCCTATGTATTTTATTACGTCAGATGGATGAAGGCTTTAGGGAACTGTGGGGCTCACTCAGTCCTTCTTGGCAGCCGCTTTCCTCATGGTGGCCAGGACATTGCTGAGTAGTTCCCTGCTTTCTCTTGGCATTGATGTGTGTCACCACCCTTTTTTTTTAAATTTAGGTTGTTTATTTTTCATTTCAATGAACATCTACAGAGATTTTGGAATTCCATTCATTCATTGTTGCACCCCTCTCCCCGCACAAACCCCTCTGCCCCCGTTTGCTCCTCTCCTTGAAAAGCAAAAGAAAAACTCCCTCATTGGTACACAATCCCCCCCGCACCTCCCCAAACCCCACCCCCTACCCCCAAATATAATCCACTCTGCAACCCTCATTGCATACTCCTACGATAAAAATAATGCCCTAAAATATAATACTTTTAGACTATTCTCTCCCCCATAGACTTCAATGCCGTAAACATATTTCATCCAGTTTTTCTCAGTCTTTCCCCCACCCCAATGCCAGCCTCATTCTACAACAGTGGCACCATATAGCATTTGTCCCTTTGTGACTGAGATACCTCACTCAGCATAATGTCCTCCAGGGTCACCCATTTTGAATAATACTGCATGAGTTCCTTGTTTTTCAATGCAGCATAGTATTCCATTGTGCGAATATACCACAGCTTCTCTACCCATTCGTTTGTTGATGGGCATTTAGGTTGTTTCCAACTCCTTGCTATTGTAAACAAAGCCGCAATAAACATGGGTATACATATATCTACTTGGATGTCATTTATGGTCTCTTTAGGGTATATTCCCAGTAGTGGAATTGCTGGGTCAAATGGTATCTTTATTTGCAACTTTTTGAGAAAGCGCCACAATGCTTTCCACAGTGGTTGCACCATTTTACACTCCCACCAACAGTGAATAAGGGTTCCAGTCTCTCCACAACCTCGCCACCCTTTTTTTATGAACTTGAGGGTCCGCTTGTCCTTGGAGAGCTTGAGCAGCTCCATAGCATGATGCTTGTGGGGCATGAAGCCACACACACCTATGGGATCATGTCCCACATGAACTTGGTGTGCTTGGTGAGGTGCCCCCCATGCAGCTATGCCTCAGCTTGCTCACGTTCTTGGTTACTTTGTGGCCCTTGTTGAGGCCCACAGCCATGGAGTAGCGCATAGCCATGGCTGCTGTACTTCTTTTCAGTCACTATTTCACTCCCCTTTTCAAAGTACCCTGGCACTCTGAGCTGGATCTGGCAGTCATCCACCTATCATGAATATTAATTTTAAGAAAAACCTGAAGAGCAACTCTGCTAGTGGTGTTGCTGTGAGTTGGAATGAACCCTTCCATAGCTGCTTTGTTTTATTTTCCTTTGTTAGCAGTAGTTGACATGTTAGCTATTAAGAGTTGAAGATATAATTTCCAGTTGCATTCTAATTTAACATTAGAATGTTTGCATTTGTTTAAGTTTTAATTAGTGTAGACTGTCCACTTGAAACCCCACATTAGAAGGCTGTCTTGAAGGCCTTGAAAACCTGGTTTAGTGTCAGCAGTTGGCCTCTCATGTGGTATTTTCATTCATTGATCCATCCAGGAAAGGAAATACTTGCAGAATGAGAAAATGAAGGTGATTACCTTTTACTTAGTACCTGTTCCTAAAGACTGCCTTGTAATCTGTTGTAAAAAAAAAGATTCACTTCATGAGTCAGCATCCTTCAGTAACTAGTAATATATGTTCTTTAGATCAGCAGCCAGGTTCTGGGACAGGAAAGATCACCTGAGAACCTGGAATCTGCAAGGTGCCAAGTGTTGGAGGCAAAGTCCCCTCTTAAAGTGGTGCCTCAGGAGCTGGGACTTCAGAATTCAGCCTCAAAGCATGAGAAACAACTGAGCCATGTCATCAAAGAGGAACCTGACACTGAGCTGGAATTAGGTGAGGGCCAGTCTTATTCATGGTGGTATTGGGGACCTCTTGGAGAAAATTAGATTCCTGGCTGGCTTTGTTGAAAGTATGTTCAGATTAGGGTATCCCTGGAAAGTTTGGGAACAAGTGATCCTGATTAGGAGATTCAGTGTCTGCATTTTTAACCACTTTATATCTGCATTAAATCATCTGGATTTTGGACTTGAGCAAGCAAGGGAGAGAATATTTGAGTGAGGCTCAATGGGATGTTAGAGGGATTTGAACTTTGTTAGTGATGTGAGTACAGATCTTGAAATTGTGGATGGAAGTATCATTTCTGGTTTGCAAATTTTTTTTCTCTTTGGTTTTTTTTTTTTGTTTTTGTTTTTTAATCAATACCCTCTGTGGAATGACTGAGGAGGACATCTAGATTTTTAAAAACTTACACTAGTTTATTTACAAAATTCGAATACATTGTTTCTCACACTAGTCCCTTCCCATTTCCCTAATCCCCATCTAGATTCTTAAAACCTTGTTTCTCATTTTAGTAATGGCTGCTCCCCAGCTTCTTGCCCGACCTGAGGAAAGGCTCATCAGCGACCAGGACTCTGGAGGCTCACTTCTTCAAGTGTCATCTCAAGTGAGCAAAATTTCTCTGCTTTTCTTGCCTCAGAATCCTTTTGAGCCTTCACTAGTAGTTAGAAGTACCGAAATGAGGAAAATCTCAGAAGTATCCTTGCTAGGATAACAGGAGCAATACACAAGAAGAGGAACTTGAGTTTTAGTATTTCTCTCATGTCTTCTCAAGTTAGAATGTTTTTCTAACTGCCATTTAGAATCGAGGAATCTAGACCCTGAACAAAGGTGGAAGAGACCTGTGATGAGGCATATTTTGTCTCATTGCTACAACACTCATGTGAGAGATAAAAGAAGAAGGAAGCAAGAGAGAGAGTCCTTGAACACGAAGAACAAAAAGCCAGGAGTGGGCACTTTACTTGAGATCTGGATCCTGTGCTTAGAACCTTAAAGGCCTAGGACAAAGAGTGGCCAAGTCACAGGTACATCACCAAAGAATGCCGGGCCCACATATGTTAAAAGGGACAAGGACTTTTCCCCAGAGCTGACAGAAAGAGGAAAACCTTGTGAAGCTAGTGCCCTGAATTTGGACTTCTAGCTTCCTAAATAGGAGAGAATGAGTTTCTATTCCTTAAAGTCATCCCTGGTTTTTGCTCTCACTGTGATAAGTATGTGCACTTAGAGTCCCTCCCTTGCCTTTCTGAACTCTTCCCCTTCTCAATCTGAGAAACTACTTATCTGATTTTTGTTATAATAGATTAGTGTGCATTTTCTAGGGGTTTGTTACATACAATGAAATCATGTCCTGTTTTCTCTTTGTTGCACATATGATGTATTTTCCTTCCTTCTTTAACTATTTTCTCACTTTCTCTCTGGTTGATTACTGTGTACCTGGAAGTTAGGTGTTTTGTGCCTGTGATTCAGTCAGCTTGAATGTGAGTTTATAATTGTCCCAGGAGGCTTAGAAAGAAAATTTTTTGGCCTTTACTTGTTCAACTCCCTCCCTCCAATTCACAGAATTGTTATGATATATAATGGACCTTATAGATAAAAACAGTAATAACTTCATGAATACTTTGAATTAAAAAGAACAATGTTTCATAAAGCACATGATGCAGCATGAGGGACCTGAAACCTGATTTTTCCTCCATTCTTTCTTTATTTTTTCTTTTTTTTAAATTTTATTAATTTTAATGAAAGTTTACAGAGACATAGGGTTTCCAGTCATTCATTGTTGCACTTTTCTCCCTACCCACCCCCACCCTCCCAATTCACTCTTCTCCTTGAGAAGAAAAAGAAAAATTCATTTTTATGCATTCCCTCCCCTCAAGTCCACTCCACTATGCAGCTTTCACTCTGGACTTCTGTAATGACAAGAATACCTATGCATATATCCCTTTTAAACAGTTCTTTCCCGCATCTGTTTCAATGCAATATACATCATTCCTCCCCTACTTTCTGTCTTCCCTCAACCCCGATGTCAGTCCTGTTTTACAACAGTGGCCCTATGCAATATTTGTCCTTTAGTGATTGAGATATTTCACTCAGCATAATGTCCTCCAGCATGGTCCATTTTGCATAATATTTCATGAGGTTCTTGTTTTTCAATGCTGCATAGTATTTCATTATGTGACTATATCAGAGTTTCTCTATCCATTCGTTTGTTGATGGGCCCTTGGATTGTTTCCAGCTCTTTGCTGTTGCGAACAAAGCCGCGATAAACATGAATGTGCAAATTTATTTATTTTTTATACTAATTTATTTTTAAAATTCAAATACATTGTTTTTCAGAACAGATTCTTCCAATTTCCCTTACCACCACCACCACCCGCACCACCATTTTTTCCCCTTAATGAGAATTTAGGTGAGGACTAAGGCTGAGAAAAAGTTAATAGTTGCCAAAGGTCATAGAACCAGAAGGTAGTAAAACTTCCTTTTTTGAGTCTCTAGATCTACACAGCTCAGAACTCAGTCTTTGTTGTCCAGTTAGAACTGACTTACAGTTGACACTCCAGCAGATGTTTTGAAATGGTAAATTGAATGGGAAGCAACTTCTGTCTTGCTCCTGTGGAGCCACTGGTGGATTTGAACCACCAAGAGAGGCGCCACCTCTGGCTTGGCAGCACAGTTCCTTACAGAATGGGCCACCAGTGCTCCCTCAACTTCCATTTATTGTTATTATGAACCATCTAATTGGAACTGATTCATATCTGGCCCTCCCGTGGGTTTTCGAAGTCAATAAATCACATGGGAGATTACCCATCTTTCTCCTACATAACTGGCTACATTTGAACTGCTTACTTATGGATTGGCAATGCAATTCCTTGCCACAAAGCCGCCAGAGAATTTTCCTTTTGAGCGAGCGTGTGAGGCTCCCTTATTCATGACAACTGATCCACTAAATGAGTGTTGCACATTGTTACTTTTTCTCTGAATAAACCAATTTTGTCTCTGGATGGGACTTAAATATAGTCAACTTTAATGTTGATTGCGCCCTCTTTGCAAATTTGCATTGGCAAAAAATTCCTTTTTCATTTGTTTTCTCCTTTGAATTTGTAGATGAGTATTGGAAATGTCGGAGTCTTTAAGTTGTTGGAGAATAACAACAAGAACAAACCATGAAAAGATTGAAAACATACCACTGCTGTATTTTCCATTCAACAGAAAAGTTTATCTTTAGAAGCATACAACTAAAAAACACACACAAAGAATTGAAAACCTAAATGTTTTCTACTCAGCATAAGAAAAACTGCATTAGGGACTATAGTTTTGCTCTTGGCTTCTTCCTCCATTAATCTCTGTCCTAGGATTTCTCAGATCTTCTGGTGTTCACGCTCCTTTGGCACAATCATTCCTTCTCACTTTTCCTCTGAGAGGGTCAAGTCCCTTCCTTTGGAGCAGTGTTTAAGATCATGCCATTGTATATTTTCCAGGAACAGTGGAGACACCTAGATTGTACTCAGAAGGAACACTACTGGAACCTCATGCTGGAAGCCTATGGGAAAATGGTTTCAGGAGGTGAGGGCGTGGCTTGCTCAGTGGGAGGAGGTGGAAAGGCTAGGTATTCTTAGGTGATGATTATAGTCTTTTATAGACAAGTTCAGGCTGAAGCTCTCAATATGGGAAATCATTAGTAACACAGTTGGAAACTCGAATAAGGGGAAGCTTGCAGAAGTATAGCAAGAACTCCTTTCATTCAGTTCTTGATAGCTCCAGTGACTGCACTGAAAACAACTCCTTTATCTCCACGTCAGCCCTATGAAGTAGAGATGTCATCCCATATTAAACATGATGAAAGTGTCAGGTCAGGGTAGTAGCTCCCTGTTCCATGCCTACTAAGTGCTGGGTTAGGGTGGAACTCAGTGTAGTCGGCTTGAAGTCCATGGTTGTTTCTGACAGACCATACTGCCTCTCCCTAACAGGGATGGGCTTCAGTCATGACCGTAGCCTCAGCCTCACTGGTGGTTTACAGACCTTTCAGTCCATCTTATCAGACTCTGCTTTTCCTCCTTTTCAGCATATTTTCTATCATCTTGAGAGTACTAGTCTGAAAGGCCCCATGTCTTTCTAAGATTAGTGTCCTGTCACAGGGCCCAGGCATGGTTCCCTTCATGTTGGTTGAGAGGAGCCTTTGAAAGACACATGTACTCTTAGTCCTCCCTACTCACACTGGCTTACAAACTGATTTCTCTCTGTGCCAGGCACTTCCAGTCCCACACCTGATCCAGGTAATTCAGCAGAGAAAAGGAAAGAGCTGGCCAAATTTCCCCTTCATGCCAGCAAGAAGATCTCCACACCCAACTGCAAAGGTGAGTCAGCTTCCACTGGCCCTGAGACATTTCTGACCTTCCCTTGTTAAGGCAAGTGTGGTGGTTGACATTGTTAGACTTTTATTTCTATTCCTTTGTTATAAATAGCATGGATGGGTCAGCTCAGTTGTAATATTGATAGTAGATCTCCTTATCACTGTTTTTAGAGCTGTTGGCACATTTATTTTATTTAACAGTTGAAGAATAGGCTTACATGGATATGCTCTCTTCATTCTTTTCTGTAAAATTGTGGTTGCTTTTCTTCAGTGAGAATTTAGATGGATATAGATTGAGACAGATGCTAACACATGCAAAATTCCATTAAAAGAAAGGTTATTTTAATAATCATCATTCTCCTTGCTGGAAAGACTGTTCCAATCATTCTACTTACTGGCAAGACTGTTCCAAAGTAGTCTTCTCTTATCCTAGTTATAATGAACAGTAACCATCTCATTCTATATATAATAAAACAAAGCAAAAAGTAGAAAAAGTGCTTTATCTAGTCTCTAACTTTCATTAAGCAATGTAATTGTAGTTCTGTACTGTCGAGTAGACTACGATCATAGCCACCCTGTGAACCAGATATCTGAACCTTGCCCTATCTTATTCCATCCGGATCCTTATACTCATTCTATAATAACAGTTTTATATAATATGTATACTTCTGGGACTGATTTAGTTCATTCAGCATAATGCTCTCCAGTCCCTCCCAAGTTAGGTAATAATTTACAAAATTGTTGCTCCTGCATGCTGCATAGTATTATTCCATTGTGTGAATGTACCATAATTTCCCAGTCCATTCATTTATGGTTGGATATTTAGGCTGTTTCCATGTTCTTTTGATGGTGACTAATGCTGCTGTAAACATTGGTGTACAAATCTCAGTTTTTGCCTCAGTTCTCATATTCTCAGGGTATATTCCAAGTGGTGGAATAGCTGGGTCATATGGAATTTCTATTTTCAGCTTTTTGAGGAAGCGCCAAACTGCCTTCCAGAATGGTTGCACCATTTTATAATCCTACCAACAATATATGAGTTCCTTTCTCGCCACATCCTCTCCAACATCTATTACTTGCTGCCCTCTTGAACTTTGCCACTGTTACTGGAGTGAGATGGTACCTGATTGTGGTTTTGATTTACATCTCTCTTATTGCCAGTGATTTGGAGTCTTTCTTCATTGTCTGCCATTCTGATATCTTCCTTCCTCTGTGAAAATTCTTTCCATGTCTTTTGCCCATTTTGTAATTGGGTTGTCAGTCTTTTTCTTGTGGAGACCCAGGAATATTCTGTAAACTTTTGTTATAAGACTCTTGTCTTATAACAGATGGTATTACCAAATGTTTGTTCCCGGTCTGTAGGTTTTCTTTTCATCCTGTTGGAAAAGTTTTTTATATGCACAGGGATTTCTTTAAAATGGTATCCTTTTTCTCTTAGCACTTTAGTAAGGTCCTTAACAGCACATTTTACTAAAACAACGTGCCTTTTCACTAAACGTGCCTTTTTTTACTAAAGCAACGTGTCTTTTGATTTCTTGACTGCTTTTATCATGAGTATTGATTGTGGACCTAAATAAAGTTAAATCCTTAACAACTTCAATCTTTTCAACATATATCATGATATTGCCCATTTATTCAGTGGTGAAGATTTTTATTTTCATGATTCTGTGATACAGTCCATATTGAAGGCTGCACTGTTTGATCTTCTGCAAAAAGGGCTTCAAGTCTTCTTCACGTTTTACAAATTAAGGTTTGCTCGTCTGCAGAATCCATGTTGTTGATGAGTTTTCCAATAATGATACCACCTTTTAATGCATTTTATTTCCATTAAGCAGTAACAACAAATACTGCACATTTTAATCATACATTTTAATACTGAGTAAGAACCCTGGACTTGTTCTGTTGTAAAATATCACACCTTTGACCTTCTTGACACTTTCTATAACATTACAGTTCTGAATAACCCAGCTGTCAAACCTGTATCTTGGCTGCTAACCAATATGTCCTCAGGTCTATCCAGAGGGGATGGAGGTGGTGGTTGTTAGGTGTCATCGAGTCGAATACAGCTCATAGTGATCCTATGAACAACAGATCTGAAACCAATCCTGTCCTGTTCGTCTTTATTATCACTGACACCCTTAAGCCCTTTGCTGCAATCACTGTGTCATTACATCTCATTATGGGTCTTGTTCTTTTTCACTTATCCTCTATCTTTCAAGCTCTTAACAACATTCCCAAAATAAGTTAGTAAACAAAGAAACCTCAGGATAAGGTCCTCTTCTTTCTAAAAACCAGCAGTTTAAATTCATAGGGTAACTGTTCTATTCTGATCCTCCTGAAATGTCTCTTGATCAGAGTCAACTCTATGGCTACTGGCGCTGATACAGTCATATAACACACACACATATATGTACATCTATTCATCTCTTTATATACAGTAAATCTTAGAACCATGGAAAAAGAAAAAAACCAAGGTTAGAAATTGTTATGACAGACTGTTCTTTCTGTCCACTGGGATCCAAGTAATTTGACAGCAATAAGGTGTTTTTTGGAAGAGCTTTAAAGAAATAGTTTTCTAACTGTATTTTGTGATCCTGTTGTAGCTAATGAAATAATTTTACTGGGAGGCAGCTAGTCATATAACAGAGTGAATGGATAAGAAAAGATACCAGAATAACTCAAATGCATTAGGGGTGGTTGTTGTTATTGTTAAGTACTATCAACTGACCTGCATCTTATAGTATAATAGCTCTGCAGCCTGTCCTATTCTGAGCCAGTCTCACTGACTCCAACACACCTACCCACGTTGCCCTAGTTATTGCATCAGTCCGTCTCATTTGGGGTCTTCCTCTCCTGCACTGTCCTTCCCTCCTTCCGAGAATGATGTCCTTCTCCAAGGATCAGTCCCTCCTGGTCACATTCCCAAAGTATGTGAGACAGCCTCCAATCCTAGCCTCCAAGGAGAAACTTGGTTTCACCCTCATCAAGACAGACCTAGTTGTTTTCTTGGTGGTCAGTAGTATGCTCAAGACTATTCTCCAGCACCACAACTCAAAGGTATCAGTTCTTCTTCTATCATCTTTATTTATTATCTAGCTCTCTGATGTATAGCAAGTAATTGTGAATATCGTGGACTGGATTAGGCATGCCTTAGTTTCTAGACTGACCTTGTTGATTCTCACTACAATGGAAAGGTCCCTGACAACAGATTTCCCCAATGCAATTCGTCTTGGTTTGCTGACAGCTGGTGCCAAGAGTGCTAATTGTGGAGTTGAGCAAGCTGTAACTGTCAACAACCTCAGTGTCTTCTCCATCCATCATGGTGTGGCAAAATGGCTCAGTGATGAGAATCTTTGTCTTCTTGATGTTGAGCTTTACTCCATATTGAAGACTACAGTCCTGGACCTTCTGCAGCAAGCCGTTCAGGGCTTCCTCAGTTTCAACACAAGATTGTGTCATCTGCATAGCATAGGTTATCCTCCAATCCTGATGCTACTTTCCTCCTCCTAAAGCCCAGCTTCCTGAATGATCTGTTCTGCATATAGATTGAATAGGTATAGAAACAGGATGCAATCCTGATGCACTTCCTTCCTGATTTTGAACCATGCAGCGTTTCCCTGCTCCGTTCTGAGGACTACTTCCTGGTCCAAGTATAGGTTTCGCATAAGCACAATCAAATGCTTTGGGATTCCCATTCTTCTCAAGGTTAACCACAATTTGTTGTGATCAACACAGTCACATATCTTTGCATAGTCAATGAATTAGGAGTAGAAATAGGGATATTTTAGGAAATGTAGTTTCATATATTTGTGTTTGAATAATTTGTCATTCTTACAAAAATATATACAGTTTAACTTTTGCCAATTTAGTGTTTTTCATCTGCACATTTTGTGGCATCATTTCCTTAATGCTGTTGTGCAACTCTCACCAAAATCTGTTGCCACATTTCCCATCACCATTAATAGAAACCCAGTGCTTACACAATGACTATTTCTCTCTCCCTCCTGTCCCTGGAAACAACTCTTTTTGTTCATTTTTGTGCCATAGCTTCACAGCAGTAAAGCTTCCTGATGATGAAAGGACAAATGATGACATTTGATTAATTATTTGATTCTGTGTAAATTGTCTGTAACACTTAAGAATGGCATTTTTGTTGATTCAAGCTTGACAAAGAACTTTATTTTCCATACAATTCCAGTTATGGGGGAGAAAAGAACAGGTGTAGACCCTTAAAAAAGAGATAAGAAGCAAATGTTATTAATATTTTTTCCTCAGGATGTGATTGAGATTAGTTTGGGTTTTCTTCTGTATGTTTTGTGCCTCTTCAAAAATTGTTTAGTTATATTTCCCTTTAATATGTAAACAAATAAGATAAGTCATTTAATAAGAAAAATATCAGTTTGAAATATTTTTTTCACCCTGTCTCTTAAGAAATCTATGCTTTTTATTTGTGGATGGGCCAATAGAGTTCCTGTGGGGCCTGATTTGTTTCTCAGAAATTCTCCTCCACTCGTAATCCCAGAGGTACGCAGTTAGAATCCACCCGATGCTCTGCTGGAGAAGTAGGTACATTCTCCTCTGGTACCAGTCAGATCTGCTTTGATGGTACACACACACAAAATAATTAATTAGAAATAAATAAAAAAAATTTTAAAAAAAGGTACTTCTCTTCAGCTCAAGAGTGGTAAACTTAATTTGTAAAACCAGGCAAACAGTTGTAGTACCAGGCCTTCAATATGAATAATGGTTTTACCCTCTTTCTCATTGATGATGTCCTCTTGGTAGAAAGAGTCCATGTTTTATGATTTTTTTTTACTTGATATATGAAGGAGAAAATGTAGTGTAAAATTTACTGCAGTATTTCCTATTTTATTTCTTCTTTTAGGAGACAGACCAGAGAATGGCAAAAAGAACCTAAACATGGAAACCTGTTGGAACCAGGAGCCTCCAGATGCCCCTTGTCACATTTCAGGAGAGGCCCCTCCTCAAGGTTCTTTGAGTGGCTTCTTTGGTGAGAATGAACAAAGATGCTTTGGAGGAGATTATCTCCCTAAGGCAACAGGACACCTTCAAGGAGAAGAGAGAGGGGAGCAGCACTCTCCTCAGGAAAAAGTTTCTGGAAAACAGCTAGACCAGCATTTGCCTGATTCTCACACAAATGACCTGTCTGTACTGTGGCTTGAGCAGAAGCAAGAGGTCCCCCTGAAGGACCAGCTGAGACCTCCAAGGACCCAGAAGATCCCCACATCCAGAGAGTGTGGGAAAACCTTCTCTAGAAATTCTCAGCTTCTGTTTCACCAGAGAACTCATACTGGAAAGATGTATTTTCAGTGCCCCACATGTAAGAAATCCTTTCTGTGGAGGTCAGACTTTGTTAAGCATCAGAGAATCCACACAGGTGAGAAGCCGTGCAAATGTGATCACTGTGGGAAAGGCTTCAGGGACTTTTCTGGATTACACCACCACGAGAAAATACACAGAGGCGAGAAACCCTATAAATGTCCCATTTGTGAAAAGAGTTTCCTTCACAGGTCTGATTTTAATAGACACCAGCGGGTGCACACGAGAGAGAAACCCTATAAGTGTTCTCTGTGTGAGAAAAGTTTTGTTGACCGTTCAAACTTTTTTAGACACCAGCGGGTCCACACAGGTGATAAACCCTATAAATGTCCTCTCTGTGAAAAGAGTTTCATTCAGAAGTCTGACTTTAATATACACCAGAGGGTCCACACAGGAGAGAAACCCTACAAATGTCCTCTCTGTGAAAAGAGTTTCATTCGTAAGGCCACTTTAAATAGACACCAACGGATCCACTTAGGAGAAGAACCTTACAAATGTCCTCTCTGAGAAAAGTTTCATTGACAACTGGAACTTTTTTAGACACCACCATGTGCACTCAGAAGAGAAACTCTATAAATGTTCCCTCTGTGAAAAGAATGTCATTCATCAGTCCAATTTTATTAGACATTAGAGGGTCCACATAATAGAGAAACCTTATCTATGTTCCTGCTGTGGGAAACGTTTTGGCAGGAGCTCAAGTTTTGATAGACATCAAAAATACCATTTGGAAAAGTATTCTGTAGTCACACTACTCCCCACATGTGGTCGCTGAGAACATCTCTCTAGTGCACTCCTTAAATATGGTAGTGCCAAGAATGAGGTAAGCATGGGGACAGGTGTTACTGACTTCAACCCCTCAGTGGGTTAAGTATCCCTATCAAGAATATCCACAACACAAAACCAGTTCCCATGAGGTCAGACATGTCCCCCATGCTCCTGCACCTACTTCTAATCCTAGTACCAGGCCTGCTTCTCTCTAGGGTCTGAAATCTATTGCAATAGCTACCCACACTTCCCAGAACCATACTCACTATTATAGGCATTATTAGGAAAGTTAGTAGGTTACAACTCAGGTTTGCCAATAGGATATACATTCTTAGGACAACTTTTAAAGTGTGTTTACAGGGCCTTCAGTCTTGTAGCTTTAGGTTAGTGTTCAAAAACTGTCTTAAAGGGTGCTCTGGTGGCCTAGTGGCAAGAAACTGTGCTGCAATCCTGAAGGTATACAGTTTGCATCCACCCAATGCTCTGCTGGAGAAGGATGGGCAATCTCCTGTGCCAGTCGGATCTGATTAGACAGTACATGAGGGGGAGGGGGTGTGGGAAGCTGTCTTAATGCTGCCAATTACAATATTTACCCCCTTCCCAGCCTCCAGCAATTTTGGACATAGGCCCATGGACGCTGGCTGCATGGGCATCACTCCCAGATCAGCTGTGTCTCACATTGGGTCTCTGCTGCAGCTGCTGCTCCCATCTAGATCTGACTGGCGCTTAAATATCTTCCCCGGAGAACACGTGCTGAGGTCTCTGCTGATGCTTTTGCTGGTAGTGAGGTTCCCAAAAGTTCTACTGCTGAACCTGCTCAATTTAAATCTGGCAGAATGGTGAAAATGCCAGTACCCTCAAAGGTAGACCAGTACACCATATCTGTATGTTCCCATCCAGCCATGTGACAAAGCAGAAATAGGAAAACCATTTGAACAAAAGATCCACCAAACCATAAAGTTCTTTATGTTAAATAAGAATAGTGAAACAAGAGTCCAAGTTTTTCTTTTTAATTTTCTTTTTAATATTTTAATGAAAGTTTACAGAAACTTGGATTTCCATTTACTCATTGTTGCACATTTACCTCCCTACTCCCCCCCTGTTCACTCTTCTCTTTAAAAAGATTTTTTTCATTATTACACAGGTTCCTCCCTCTGGACAGTTGTCATGCTGATAATACCTAATCATATATTCCTTTTAAACAGTTCTTTTCCTCATTGGTTTCAATGCAGTATACATTATTTATCTCCTCTTAGTTTCTCCACAACCCGCCTGTCCTGTTTTACAACAGTGAAATTATGCAGTATTTGTCCTTTTGTGACTGAGCTATGTCACTCAGCATAATGTCCTACAGGGTCACCCAATTTGTGTAATATTTTATTAATCCTTTGTTTTTCAGTGCTATGTGGTATTTCACTGTGTGAATATACCACATCATCACTATCCATTCATTCGATGGGCACTTGGGTTGCTTCCATCTTTTTGCTATTGTGAACAATGAAGCAATAAACATAGGTATGCATATATCTCTTGGCAGTTGTGGTTTCTTTAGGGTATATTCTCAGTGCAATTGCTGAGTCAAATATTTCTATTTACAATTTGAGACAGCGTCATACTACCTTTCATAGTGGTTGCACCAGTTTATATTCCCACCAACAGTGAATGAGGATTCCAGTTTTTCCACAACCTTTCCAGCATTTGTTGTTTGCTGCTCTGTTGAATTTTGCTGTTCTTACTGGGGTGAGATTATATCTCATAGTTGTTTTGACTTGCATCTCTTAGAGCTAGGGATTTTGAACATTTCTTCATGTGTTTGTTTGCCTTCCAAAAGGTTCATATCCTGTGTCCATTTTGCGATTGGGTTTTTACCTTTATCTTGTTGAGGTGCTGGAGTATTCTATAAATTCTAGGTATAAGTCCCTTATCAGACATCATTACCAAATATTTTTCTCATCTATGGTTTTTCGTTTCACCCTGTTGGAGAAGTTTTTTCTTGTGCATACCGATTTATTCTTAGAAGTCCCCATTTATCTATTTTATTCTCTCCCATTATAGGTTTTTCAGGATGTTTGAGAGATTGTTCTTGTTGTGGATTAGAGCTTCTAGAGTTCTTCCAAGCTTTTCTCTGATGATTTTTATAGTTCTTGGTTTTACTCCGAGGTCCTTGATCCACTTTGAGTTGGTTTTTGTGAATGATGTGAGGTGTGGATCTTGCTTGAGTTTTCTACAGATAAGTTTTCCAAATTTGCCAACACCATTTGTTAAAGATACTTTGACTTCCCCACTTAACTGATTTCATTTCCTTGTCAAAAAGCAGTTGACCATAAATAGATGGGCTGATTTCTGGGTTCTCAGTTCTATGCCATTGATCTGTTTGTCACTGTACCAGTGCCAGGCTATCTTGACCACCATAGCTGTGTAGTAAGATTTGAGATCAGGAAGTGAGATGTCTCCTATGTTGTTTCTCTTTTTCAGATGTGCTTTGTGTATTTGGAGTCTCTTTCCATTCCAGATAAAATTGAAGATTGCCTTTTCCACCTTGTTGAAGAATGGAATTGGTGTTTGTATTTGGATTGCATTGAATTTGTAGATTGCCTTTGGGCATTTTACCAATATTGAGTCTTCCTATCCAAGATCATAGTATACCCTTATATTTCTCCGGGTCTCTTTTTGTTTCTTGTAGTAATGTTTAGTAATTTTCCAGGTATTTTGTGATTCTAGTTAGATTTACTTCCAAATATCTAATCTTGTGATCTTAGCTGCAGTTCTGTATTTTCTTTGTCACTAGAGAAATCCAGTAGATTTTCATATGTTGATCTTTTGTCCTGCCATTTTGCTGAATTGCTTGACTATATCCAGTAGTTTTCTTGCTGAGTCCTTAGGGTTTTCTAAGTATACTATCATATAAAGATATACCTGCATATAAAGATAATTTTACCTCCTCTTTGCCAATGTGGATACCTCTTATTTCCTTCTCTTGTCTTACTGCTCTCACTAAGACTTCCAATACAATATTGAATAGGAGAAGTGGTAAAGGGTATCCTTGCCTTTAGTTTCTGTTCTCAAAGGGAATGCCTTTAATCTCTCTCCATTGAAAATGATACTGGCTCTTGGGTTTGTGTATTTACTTTTTGCTATGTTTAGGAAATCCCTTCTATTCCTATTTTGTTGAGTGTTTTAATCAGGAAAGGATGTTGGATTTTGTCCAAGATCTTTTCTGTATCAATTGATAGGATCATGTGGTTCTTGTTCTTTGCTTTGTTAATGTGATGAATTTCACTGATTGGTTTTTCTTATGTTGAATTTTCCTTGTATACCTGTTACTTGGTCATGGTGATTTTTTTTTTTATGTAATGTTGGATTCTATTGTCATGTGCCATTGAGTCACTTGTGACTCATAACAACCCTGTGTACAACAGCCGTAAGCCCTGCTCTATCTCTTGCCAATTTTATTGTCTCTGACACACCTATCCCCACTATCCCAGTAATGGAATCAATCCATCTCATCAAAGGTCTTCCTGTCCTGCACTGTCCCTCCACCCTCCCAAGCATGACGTCCCTCTCCAAGGACTAATCCTTGCCTCCAAGGAGCAGCCTGGTTTCACTCTCTCCAGAACGAACTTGTTTGTTCTCCTATCAGTCTATGGTATATTCAGTACTCTTCTCCAGCACCAAAGCACAAAGACATCAACTCTCCTTCTGTCATCCCTAGTCATTGTCCTTCTGTCATCCCTAGTCATTGTCCAGCTTTCTGATGCATAGCAAATAATGGCAAAGACTATGGCCTGTATCAGGCACACCTTAGTCTCCAGACTGACAATGTTGGTCCTCAGTACCTTGGAAAGGTCTCTGACAGTACACTTACTTTCCCAATGCAATTTATCTCTTAATTTCCTGGCTGCTGGTACCAAGAGTGTTGATTGTAGAGCCAAGCAAACTGAAGCTGTCAGCAATCTCAGTCTCAATCAGTCCAGTGGTGAGAATCTTTGTTTTCTTGATGTTGAGCTTCAGTCCATATTGAAGTTGAAGGCTGCAGTCCTTGACCTTCTGCAGTAAGTACTTCAGGTCCTCCTCAGTTTCAGCAGGCAAGTTGTATAATCTGCATAATGCAGATTGTTGATAAGTCTATCTCCAATCCTAATGTCACACTTCTCCTCATGGAGTCCAGCCTCCCAGAAAATCTGTTCTGCAGTTAGATTAAAAAGATATGGAGACAGGATGCATCCCTGGTATAAACCCTTCCCAATTTTGAACCATGCAGTGTTTCCTTGCTCTGTTCTGACCACTGCCTCCTGGTTCGAGTATTGGCCAGGATTTTATTCAGGACTATTGCATCTATATTCATGAGAGATACTGGCTTACAGTTTCTATTTTTGTGGTGTCTTTACCTGACTTGATATCAAAGATATGTTTTGCTTCATAGAATGAGTCTTAGAAAATTCCATCTCTTAATATTTTCTGAAATACTTTATGTAGAATTGGTGACAATTCTTTGAATATTTAAAAAATTCATTCATAAAACCATCTGGTCCAGGGCTTTTGTTGTTGTTGTAAGTTGTTTTATTACTTGTTCAGTTTCTTTTCTTGTAATGGATCTTTGTCGGTTTAGGTAGGTTCTAAGTAATTGTCCATTTTCTCTGGGTTTTCATATTTGAGTATAGTTTTTAATAATATTCCGTTGTTAATCTTTTTATTTTAGTTGGTTGTTGTGACAGTGTCCCTTTGATCTCTTATTTGGATTA